AGGTGAATTGTATCGTGTCATTCTGTAAGGATTATGTTAATTTTATTAACAGTTAAATTTTGAGTTAAACTTCCTTTCCTATTGCTTCTTACTTTCAACTTACCACTTCCAGCTAGAACATAGTTTTAGAATCATGTCTGAATGCTAATGAGAAAGTGCAGTATTTAACAGTGAAGTTCTACTGTCGTAGTGAGAGAGATACCAGATATTCTGGCTTGCACGCATCTGCCTTTTTAGGCTACTCTCTTGTAAGCTATTATTACGCTCAGCCGTACTTTAGGCCCTTGAGAGCTTCGCAGTCAATTAGCATTAAGAGGCCAACTTTGTTAGAATTTTGATAGCTTGGGCTATATCTCTTTTGTTAAGATTAGTTTAGTTTGATTCTTAGTCTCTTAAGTTCAAGCCCAAGACAGAGCTCTGTTAAATCTTATTTGAATAATAAAGGGTTATTTACCATTCTATCTTGTTGTTTCCTGTCACATGAACTGAAGCGATTATTCGCTTATCAGTTTTTAAGATTCTTCACTTTCAACGCTAACTTAAAATTACGCAATGGAGAATCCTACAGTTCATTCTATTCGGATTTTGGATTGTAATTTTGAGATAGCGTAAAATCTTTTAAAAGAAAGAAAGTCACATAAAAGAGAACAAGTTTTTGCATATAATAAAAGTTTGCTAAGCTTACCAGTTATTCAAAGTACCGTAATTTTCGCACGTATAGTCCGCACCATCGTATAGCCCGCAGACACTATTTTATATAAAAAAAAATTTCAAAAATCGTCAGATAGTCCGCGGACTATACGTCCGAAATTACGTTTTTTTAATACGGCAATATTCCCATGCTGTTTAAACACATCCTTTTGTTTGCGCCAATTTCTCACCGCTTTCTCGTCCACTTCAAAATAACGGGGTAAAATCCTAGTATACGGTGCAGCCTTGGCGCGAATTTGAAAATTATCGCCAACATCAAAAATGATCCAAAGAACGTCTCTATATATATATATATATACTATACACGCATAGTATATGTATATACACACATAGTATATATACTATGTATATGTTTAACTATATATTTTCTTTGAATGACCCGTTAACTACCCATCGTATATGTCCCGTTTTCATTGCTCATCATAAAGTTGCCAAAAGTAGCCAAATCCCGTGTGCACTGGATACTAGGATTAAACCAATAAGGGCCCGCTTCTCTATTTCCATCTTTTTCAGCTTTCTCAACTACCTTGAGTTTAATTCAGCAGTAAAACTCCGGTGATGTTTCATCAACGTTATCGAAGATGAAAGACTAAATACGAAAACAAAATACTGTGCAACGTGCTATCCTCGTGATAATTGGTAATGAAATGTGACCTTCGACCCCACTCACTCGGTGTTGCCAAACCGCGCTTATAAGTAAACGAATCACACTTTTTTTTTCGTACTCCAGGTACTTGCTACTATGGCTCCTAAAAACCGAGCTAACGCATCAACTACTTTTGCCCCTCCCGGCAGTTGCGCTAAAGCAGTGCAAAGGATACTGGGATAAAAGACTCTGGTTGCGCTAAATGAGTGCTCGTACAAGACTTTCTTTGGCTCATATCCCGGCATCGCTTGATGCGCCAGCCTGGATTTTTAGGAGCTCTACTTGCTACTACTCATTCGTTTTGCACTATGCTCTATGGTTTACTATCGATACGATACATACGAATGTTTTCTTGGAATCTCATGCTTTTTTTTATATTTGATCATCGGCAGTTCACGACAGCATGTTTTTTAAATTTCAACGATTTTAACCGTGAACAACCAGCGTATTATCCGCATTGGTGGATAGTCCGCAGCTTCAAAAATTCGCATTTTAAACACAGATAGTCCACGGACTATACGCGCGAAATTACGGTAAATCGGCTGTTGCTGTTTTAAATTTAGTTGACAACACTAATAAGGTAATTTTCACATTAGATGTATTGTTTCAAACCATTGATAAAGTGATATGTTAATGACTTATTTAATTTTACAAAATTGGATCCTTATACAAAACTATGGTGTGAAACTCAGCTTAAATGTAATGAGATTCCAGAATGTACGGAATTAACTGTATTCCTAAAGAATTATGCAACAGTGCTTAAAAATGGCAAACCAACAATCAGTGAAGTGCCTGTATCTTTATATTTCAGTGTAAGGATATTTTAGTAGCTATTTTCAGGTTCTGGTTTCTGTGAAGAAGATCATAGTTTAGCCAAATGCTCAAAATTTCTGAATTTATCATTTCAGCAAAGAATAGACTTTGTAATATCTAGTAACTGCTGTTTTAATTTCTATCTAATATTCACTTACTCAAACGATGCAAAAGTTTAAATACATGCCATCACTGTTAAAAAATGCAGGATTAAGAAACTCAAATTGCAACAATATTTATCATGTAATAGAAAATAAAGCCTTGGTTTTGGACTGGCATCCTGACAATGATAAATTCAAATGAAATAGATTATCAAACTGTCTCCACTAAATGGATTATTCTGTCATTTGTAAAGTTTTTCAATCCACTTGTGTGTATATCTCCTTTTCTAATTCTAGCTAAAATGATCCTTCAACAAATGTGGAAATTACACTTATCATGAGATGACCAAAAATAGAAAATTTTATCCAAAGAAGTTAAACTTTTGAATTCTATACTTATGCCTAAAAAAAGTCCTGCTGTCTCATTGTTCCTGATATGAACTTCATGGGTTTTGTGACATGTCTGAAAAAGGGCTATGCAGCAATATTTACTTAAACATGTGACAACTCTAACATTTCTGTTAGACTTTTAACAGCTAAAACTCGTGTAGCACCACTGAAACTTATCAGCATAACAAGACTGGAATTATTGCAACAGTATTATTGGCACACATGGGTTTAGGCTGTTAGAGCTGCTTTAATTATAAAATTTGATTTGGTGCATGCATGGAATAATTTGTCGTATTCTCAAATCTAAAGTCAGATCTTAAAAGGTTGCAAGTATTCATATCCAGTTGATTTTATCAGTTGAAAACTGGAGTCATATTGATGGAAAAGAAAATCCTGCTAATTTTGCTTCACATGTTCCCCCCCCCTTCAAAATTACGGTTTCATGAATTATGTTGCAATTGACCCCTTGCTTAAAGTGGATTGAGGCTCCAGTGTCTAAATAATTCCTACATTTGAAAAAGGATTACCAGATGCATATAAAACAGTATCATTTTCTGAAATCATAAATGAACTTGCATTTGAAGTTACATCAAAGATATGGGGCCCACCAGCGGCCGAGCGGTAAAGTCGCTGAACACTGGTAGTTCGGTCCGAGGTTCAAATCCCGCGAATGGGCTGGCTGCATGGGCGTTTTCATGGTTTTCCCCATGTGTAACGTGTATACGAGCCAGTTTCCCTTAGAAAGTCCTCCACTAAGGCATCCCTCCCCTTAGGCAGATAGCCCTAATGTGCTTTTCCATAATTAAATACACCACACACCATACATCAAAGATATCCTCATTTTTGAAGTTGCAGCACATATTTGCTTAGTTGTTAACATTTAAATCTAATTCAAAGGTGACATGTTTAGGGGAAAAAACGCTTTTGTTTTATCTAGTAATGAAATGAGCTGCAACACACTATTATTCGAATAGTATGATTGAACTTCAGTAAATAAATTCAAGGTTTGAAAATGGGAAAAGATTTGCAGGCAGCAGTCTTCAGAGTCTGTCCATTTTTAGATGATAATAAAGTGTTATGAGTAGTAAGAAGACTGAAAATGAATATCTATCTAAAAATGAGAAACTTCTGATCTTATTACTTTCAAAGCACAATTTAACAAAACTCATAATAAAACAATTTCATGAAAAATATCTGCATGTAGCACAAAAATCTTTAATTAGACAGGAATTTTCAATCATATTTGCTGGATCTGTTATTAGAATATTAGTAAAAAGTTCTCTTGCATGTTGAAGAAATGCAAGGCTCAAACTGCAAGCCAAAATAAAATCTGATTCTGTGTTTTGTGAATTATTAAATCAACCAACCACAGTGATGCATTTTTCAGCAGATATAAGGTAGGATTTTTAAAATCTGTGCTAAATTTTCTGAACAATGGCAAGACGTTTCAATAATTCTGTATTATTGTAATATAAAATCTGCTGTGTAGAGTATTGGAAGGTGATGGGATGATGTATCTGCATATATTTTTTTAAATGTTTGACATAAGTTATGGCCAGCTACCATATTTAATGGTGGTGATGATGATGATAATCGAAATGGTCTTTCAGATATTGCAGGCAGAAGGTTGAATGTTTTTAAGAAGTTACAATAAATGAAGATGATGTAATATACTGAGTGTTCTGTCGTGATAACAGTACCATAAACATCAATCAACTAACACACAGCAAAATCTGTGGCTTTATATCCTGAAAATATTGCTACCAATCATGATGAAAGTAACAATGTTGATAATGAAAATATTTTGATTGACAGTTTAATAAGAATTCTCTATGTGGCGATTACAGAACTTGAGTAATGGAACTTAATAACTGAACAAAAGATTATGTCTGTCTAGAAAATTAAAGCAAATGTATTAGCCCAAAAGACAAAACAGCATATATAAAAAAAAAAAAAAAAAGTTTAGTAAAACTGACAAATAAATATTTAGCTTTTCTTTATAAACTTTAATTCCGTTAAGGTTGTAAATGCTTTATTATCTCATGAACAATTTATATATATAAAATTTCTGTGTGACATGTTATTAAATCCAATTAATCTCAAATCCAGACTCTGTGAAGTCGTGACTGATTCAGATCTCGGATTTCGTACTTTATAACCAAATAAAATGTAATTTGTGTTTCTGATTTAGAGGAGTATTACTATTAAAGGAAAACTGAATGAATTTGTTTGCATGTTGGAGTTTAAGTATATTTCTTTCCCCCTGCTCTCTCGGTTTTTTCTTTTTTTTAAATGGTTTTCCTTTCATAACTCAAAAATTTTTTCCTCTGCATATATAGGTGGACAGTCGTATTTCATGCAGATGATAAACCTGAAGAGAAGGCTATAACTACTGTGGCTAATAGCTCCGGTTCAACATCTGAAGACAACACTGCAATATTTGTTATGAATAACTACTTTGGAATTGGTATTGATGCTGACTTATGCTTAGATTTTCATAATGCTAGAGAAGAAAATCCAAACAAATTCAATAGCAGGTAATTGTTGCTATCTGAAGAATTTTTTATTTACGAAGAAAATGAAATATCCCCAGCATAATTTTTTTCTTCTAAATTAGTTTTTGTCTATTGTTTTATGAAATGTTTAATTTACATATAGAATAATATTTTTATAATATACAATTCTGTTTTGAAATTTTAAAAATCATTTTTACTTATTTTTCAATGTTTTATCAAATAATTTTAAAGGATTGTATTGAACTCATGCAGGTATGTAATATAAATTTAATATATATGTGCATACAGTCAGTCATATTAACATGTCCAAAATATGGACCTTTGGTATCCAGAATGATCTAGTATCTGGATCACCAACCAAAAAATGAATTAATGAAAAATTCTCTACTGTTACAAAAATCTAAAAATAGAGAATATAATACCGAACCCCAAAAAAAGGTGTGCTGTAAATGTGATATTTCTCCTGACTAACTGAAATTCCTGAATGAAGCTTTCACCTGGCTAGGGACTCGCATAGTAGCCAATAACAGTATATTTATTGACATATTGATAATTGCTGAGTGTCTGGTTGAAGGGCCGGCACTCAGCATTTTGCCATTGAATGTGGTAGTTTTGATCAAATTGATGTGGGTCCTAAGTTCTGCTGTCTGTTGCCTTCCTAATTTCTAAAAATTGTGCCTCCCTAATTATTGCTGCTGAATGCTCTTCTAAATTGTTAAATTTTTGCTAGCAATGTGTGGGGTTAGTATTCTTCTCTTTGACCTAAACATTGCTACCATGTCATGTGTCTTCATACTAGATTTAAACTCATGATCTAAAATCTAGAATCACTGAAGTAATAACGGTTCCAGATATGGGACTTTGTACTGTGTATTTATAAATAAAGGGCACTAAAGTTTGAAATGCCAATGCATTCTTAAGAACATAATTTATCCAAGCACAAAAATTTGACATTATCTACAGGTTAGCATCTTAAGATAAGCCCTGGCTCTGATGGTATAATGTGGAAAAATTTGTTGATAGAATGTGAAGTGAAAGCACTTTTCCTAATGCTATACCCATTCCAGTTGCAAAACCTGGTATTTATCAAAAGACTATTTCAAATCATTGCTTTTATAGCTTGTATATTTAAAGTTTTGAGCCAAAAGAAAAAATTGATGCATAAACATCTGATGCATTATTTGAAGAAAATCTTTTACATAGCCAGAGTAGTTTCAGAAAAGCAGATTTGCAATTGATAATATTCTTCTATGTATAATACGCTTTTTGAGACCAATCATTTGTTTTTTCTGAGGGGGAGAGGGCATGAAAAAAAGCATATGACAGGATATGGAGGTATGGAATTCTCCAAGATCAGTATCGTTGCTTCTGGGGAAATATTTCACTTTCATCTAGAATTTCCTAAAGGTATGTTGTTTGTTTGCTGTCTAAGCCTTTTGGTCAAGAAGAGTGTGTGACTGTTTGCAGTAAAATAAATGGATTTCTGAAAGTGTTTGTATTTTGATAACTGCAAGCAAGTTGTCATTGACATCTGTTGCATTAAGAGGCTACTGCAGATTTTCTTGAATGGGATTATTAAGTGGTTGAGAAATAATAGTTTTCATGTTTTCCTGCACCATCTGAAAGACTTAAAATTACCCGATCACCTTCAAATTCCGTAAGCTGTTCCTTTGCTCTTGCCTAATATGCTGTGTTTCACCTAATTTCAAATCATATGATCTCTAAATGTTGTCTTCTTCAAGGCAGGTATAATTTCCTGCCAGAGAAGTTTCCAATAATAGACCGTGATAATGGTATACTTTTTAGGGTCTTCAAGAGGGCTTCCCTCAAACCTACGATGCCATAACTTCACATCATCTACTTTTTTAACATTCTGGTTTATGTAGGGCCAGTTTTGTTTTGGTCTGTTTCATACTTAAATGGTTTACAATGGTAGAGTCCATTATATCATTTCAGTAACATATTCTGTCCCAGTTATTGATGACATCCATATTTTACCATTTGAATCTACAATGTGCTCACCTGTCTTTTCGAAACGTGCTCATTATGATAAATTTCATTTTAGATTTGGATTGTACAACACTTTTTAATTCAGTTCAATTTGATTTCCTACTTTTACTGCAAATTTAATAGTACCTTTTCCTAATACTCAAAATTTCCTGTGGCTAAGGATATACATTTATTATTTATTTCTTCAAATGTTATCACTGCACTTCTGTTGTTGCAGAAGTGAGTTGCCGTGGCTGTGTGTACAATCCAATTAAATTATCTGCGTTACCTCCTTTATTTGTAGTTGCACATAATTTAAGTATTAAATATGCTTACCGTGCTGTCTTCTAAATCGATGTGTGCCTGACAAAATTGTCCCTTTCTTTCTTCCCTTTTCTTTAACAATTTTTTTCAGTGTAAAATCCTCATCCTTCTACAGTACAAAGTCCGGAATGCGGACGTCCGCTATCCGGACTTATCTAAAATCCGGATATTAAAAACCACAACCACCACAAACTTCTCGTAGGCTTTACGCATGCGCATTTGATTCCCCCCCCCTCTCTGCGCATAAAACATCTGGAGAGTCCCAATTCTTAATTTCTCTTCGAAACTAAATAAAATACCTTGTTATTGAAGAAACAGTTATTTTAGCATAAATTTGTACAGTCAGTAATTTGGCTCCGCTGCTGAGTATCTGCTTGTTATAATACATATCAAACCGAAACGATAATGAAGAAAGTGACAGAGAAGTTACTGAAAACGAGAAAATTTCGATTGACAAGTTAGTCGGAATTCTCGAAACAGCAGATACAGGACTTCAACAATGTAACTGAAAAGAGATTATGTCTGTCTACGGAATTAAAGAGAAAGTATTAGCACAAAAAACAAAGCATCTTAAACAACTTACAGTGAATGAAATGTTTAATAAGGTAAACAGATAAATATTAAGCTGTAAATTCTGATACCCTTTAGATCATAAATACTTCATTGTGCCATAAATCGCGATTTCATATTTTTAATTTTATAATTTCTTCATGCCATCATACTAGATTTAAACTGATGATCTAATATCTGGAAAAATCCGAAATTGCTGAAGTCCGGATTTCGGACTTTGTGCTTTCGGACTATAACTCAACTATTCTATTCCACCGGTAAATGTCAGATTGCTTGAAATCCTTTAAAAAGATCTAAGTTATGTCCAGTTGTTCACAGTCATTTTTACCGTTGCGATAAATAACCCTATTTTTTCATCTGATGCACACCTAAAACTTAAAAATTCATTCAGCAGCTAAATTAGTCTTGCTTTTGTTTTTGGTTTAAATTGCTTGTGCAAAATATTGCGTGTGTCTTACCATTCAAACATTTTTGTATCAATAGCTTGAACTCTTTTAATTCCATAGCATAATGCAGTGAAGGCTGTATTTTTTCTTAACGTGAAGTCTTCCTTTTCACACATTGTTCCTTTTTTTTTTTAACCTTCTGTGAAGCTTCAGCAACAGCTTTATGGTGACTTTTCATCAATCTCAATTGTCATGGTTTAACAATGCAAACCCTTCTGGTAACAATGATATCTTCAGTTAACAATGACATCTTCAGTGCAAGCATGACACCTTGAACCATCTTCTAAGCCACACTATACTTCTTTGTCTTTTTGGGCCATAGATAGCAGCTTCTTTCACTTGCATTCCTTTAACACTAAGTAGCCTGGGCCCATAACCTCTTGGGGGTTGTAGCAATCTATTAGAAGCATAATTAATATTCAAAAATAGAAATGGAAGACCATATCTGAAAACAAAAGTAATATTTATTTTTATTCACAATTAAAACAACTTGTCTGCAACAGCAACATTTACAAAAAAAAAAAAAAAAAAACCAAGGCAAAATGAAAAAGCGAACAAATATCAAGTTAACGGACTCTGTAATATAAATTCACATGACATATCATTGGCAATCATGTCGATTTACTCAGGACCGTCCTCTGGTTAAATTTGCATGAGGAAAAACAAAACATTAGGCCAGTCTAAACAAGCAGTGGTTTGAACTCTCAATCATTGCTTGCATTGCTGCTAAGCTTCAAGTTACCGTAATTTCCGGAAGAAACGCCACGGCATTTACGTGTTTAAAACTTAAATTTTCAGCCGGTGTGGCATTTCTACCCATGCAGTGCTTAGGTGCACTAAAAATAAATATTTCCTATGATGTCATTGTGCATAGTTTGAATGACTTTGTTATAGTACATAGTTTGTTATTGTACATAGTTTGGATGGCCTTGTCATTGTGCATAGATTGGTGCTGTTCCCACACAAAAGACCACTCAGTTGCTTTCTGCAAACTTTATTTTGTTTACATTCTTTCCCTTGAATGGACCTACATCTTCTAGGACCCTAAACAGATCTCGAACAATAACATTCTTCCCCTTTCAAATCAACATTCTCATCAGTTTGAATAGTCTTTCTCCTTCTGCCATACGATGAATCTTCCAGGACCCATCCTCTCCCACCCCTGCCTTTTCTGCAATTTTTTTCAAAGGCGGACACGACTCCACCTGCGTTCGCAATAACAAATTCTGACATATTTTCCCCTTCAGCATGAATTCGATTTTTCGTGGCATTCTGCCAGATACAGATCATATCAGTTTGGGTATAAGTACTTGTTGGACAGTTTTTAAGTAAGAAGGGAGTGGAAAATTTTTGAAAATGTCTCTAAACGGCACAGAAGCTGTACATTTCTTACCTTTAATTTATTTTTGAGTTATGGGGTTCATATCATGCATTTTTCTTACTGGTATGTCATATATCAGGACTTAGGTTGAGTTTTTGCATCTATACGGCCCACGATAATGTCACGCGCAATTTAATCTATTGCGGCGTTTACGCTGATGCGGCCTTTCTGTGTAATTTTAATTTTTTTCCCGCCATTTTTCTCGAGTGCGGCGTTTACACTGATGCTTCCTTTTTTAAGGAAATTACGGTAGTCATCTTCAGCAACTTTTAGCCTAGCATTGATGAAGCCTCTTCAGCATTGTAGCTCCT